GCAGACGACAGTAGTGTTACACTACTGTTTTCGAAATAAACAAAACATGTATTATATAAAAACTTACTGTTTACGTCTGCGGTGCTAAATATTTTAGACGATTGCAAACACAGAGCAAAGTATTTATCTAATCCCGTTTTAGAGTTTTTATAACGACCATATAGTAAAACATGGTTCAAATTTAAAATTATGCTTCCTTCTTCAAAAGGCTTTACTCCACCATTAACATATTTCATTTACTTTTAAATTAAATATTTTTATTGTAGGACACGAAATTTTGGTAAACATTAACAATAATATAATATTAATCTACCAACATTGTAAACAAGTTTTGTACTTGCCACTCTGTATCCACGTGGTATCTTGTGGTATCTGACTTGATCCAATCCATCCATGTGCGCTGCTACACCAGGTTGAACGACATCCGTGCCTGGCTAGGATAGAGTGTTGCCGAAACATGTTTTATGCTAATCTATAGAGTTTTTTTTGTATAAGTGAATACTATAATTAAATTCGCTTATCTAATTTAAAAATAATTAAAACGCAAAATAGTGCACGGTTTTCGCACGTTTCAAGTTTACAGCGGACAATTACAAACGAGCTCTGCAATTTTACATCCAAGGCATTCAAAATGTCTAAGCCTCTCGTAAAAAAAGCCGCTACATTTATCAAGAGGATCGGTGTATTTCATTCCGATAGGGAACGAGAGATCGGCGAGTGCATCGTCAGCTTTAATGCAAAGGTAGAGTATTTTTGCCTTTCAAATGGAAAAAAAGATTGACTCGAAAAATTTGAATCCCGAGAAAGGGGCGACAAAGCACTTCCGTCGCTGCATCAGCTCTTCGCGGAGTGACTACTGTAATATACTATTTCGGGAGCGGCTTTTTTCCTCGGCTCGCCAAGCGCGTTACTTGAATTACCCGACCAGTGTCTCTTTTAACCCCGGCTTTCAATTGCCTCCCCTCGGTCTCTCGAGTTACTCCGGTGGAATTTTACACCACGTCCGGTTAACGCTTAATGCCTCGAAAGAAAGATTTCCCTGGTTGGATTCAAACCGCCCGGGTTTTCAATTTTGTTCAAATTTCAGGAGGAAAATCCGGGGTGCGAAAACACGAGATGCCATTATTTCCAAAATTTTACCGAGAATCGTGCAACTATTACGACTATCGTGTACATTTTTTTGGGTGTTAAGAAAAAAACTTGAAATAATTTTGTTTCTCCATCTCAAATGATAATTATAATTGATTTTACCACGACACAGTTAGACATCTCAAATGAAATGAACGCAACGATGAATAAGAAAAAAAATGTAATGGTGAATTAAAAGTACTGATAAATCAAAGAAATTTTAGAATACCGTGAAATTAAATGCCGAGCGTGCCGTTCCTTAAAAATAACTCGAGCGAGCCAAGAGTGGAAAATCATTTAGGAAGTGCATTTATTTTAAACGTATTTCCACGCTGTCAACGAAATCCCATTCAATACTGCCAAACGAAGAATCTACATCTAATGAATGATAAAAATAATAAGCAACTACGCAACATATCTAACACTTGTATGCAAACTTTTTTTAATTTTTTTTTTTAATGCTATTCTTTTCTATTCTATTAAATACAATAAGAGTATACTCATGAACAGTGTAGCGACTGATGGCTTAAAAATTTTGTATGTACTACTTTTTTGACTACCTAAATCTTCATTATAAACGAAATTGTTCAAAAACAGCATAAATCTTTGTATACTACAGCTAAATAAATAAATAAAGTATAAGTAAAGTAAAAGATTGATCAAAATGCATTGGGACACGCTCAAAAGATGCTGAGAAGACAGGCGGAAGATGATACAGAAATTTAATCGCAAATGAAAGAAACAAGAACAATAACTAAAAGTGCATCGCGTGGGCATGATATTCTTTCATCATAGAAATTCCCTTAGTTACAGACTACCAAAAGATAACGTGGGGGAAAATACTGAGCTGCGTTTGCCTTTGCGCGACTCACGCGGGGAAGGTACGCACATCATCACAAATATGCTTCAAGTACACTTTTCAGTTTCCGTTCTATCTTCATTATTTTATTTTGCTTCAAATTCACTTTTACTCGAGCATTTTCTGTCTATATCTCTTGAAATCAAAAAGAAAAAAAATTGAATCACCTAGAGTAAGTATGTTATAATCGGCAGGGTACACGCGATCTGTCCCTCTATCTTTCTTCTTCTCTTCCTCGCAATCTTCCAAGCTTCTCGTTTTCGGTCTTGCGATCGATCGTTCGTTCGATTACGGCTGCATCGTCGTTATCAGGAAAAAGAATAAATGGGCTAGTCGAAGCTGGAAAGCAGTTTTTCCCTAGACGTTCTCCTTGCCTTCAAACTTTTTCGCTAGGTCGGATATCAGTTGCTTGTAGATGAGCGGATCGATGTTCTTGCCGAGCTGATAGAGAATGAACCAATCGCCAATCTGACACCTTTTGTTTATCGTCTCGATCTGGTCGTGGGTGTTGAGCCGCGAGCGCGCTCGCAGAAGTAGTCTACGGAAGTTGACTCCCGTGCACACGCATACTCGGTAAATCAAACTCATGGCGCTGATGGCAGCCAAGAACCAGAACCAGAACCAAAGGAACACGTAGATCTTCTCGTTGACGATGTTCAGCGGGAGTACGCAGAGACCGTCCAATTTCTGCACAGTACCGGAAGCACCATATTTGTGGAAGGTGCACTTTGTGACTTTTGGGAAGACTCGAGACATGGGGTCGATGCGATCGTCCGGATCCATTTCTGTGAGCCCAACGACTTCCAAGCCGTATTGCGAGAACTCGCCGCCCAAGAAGACGTCGACAACATACATTTGTAGGAAGACGTTGATGAAGTTTAGAAATTCGCAAAAGAAGAAGCGAAACGCATAAAAGTTCTGGGAGTGAAGGTTCGTAGTGAAATAGTCGACGAGGAGCTTCCTACGGTCAGCCTTGCAGTCCTCGCTTACGACCGGGAAGTTCAAGTCGAGCACGAGCATCTTGATTCTGCCACCTTCCCACGTTTTCCAGAGGTAACGAGGGACGTAAAACAGAAGGGCTTGGAAAAATAGGGCAAAGCAAACCCACTGGTAGTACTTGTGGTATCTGACTTGATCCAATCCATCCATGTGCGCTGCTACACCAGGTTGAACGACATCCTTGCCTGGCTCTCCGTTGAGTTTTGGCACCGTGAAGGTGGAGTAGATCCAGCAGTAAGTGTCCATTATATGCAGTGGGATGTCATCTACTATGCAGTCGATGGGGTCACCAATGTACTGTCTTGAAGTGACCAGCAGCGAAAATGCCACCAGAATGACAAAGGTTGCTTTGTAATGTAGTCTGAATACATTGTTGTCAATGCAAACCACATCGAGCTTTAGCAAGCCCTTCACCGAGCCAAAAACGTCAAACATCTTGGCTCTGTATTCTCTTTGATTTGCCTATTAAAAATAAATAACCCTGGGAAAAATAACAAAAAAAGATTTTTAGATCGCAGGCCCCCTGTCAAAAAAATAAGTAAATAATAATAATAATTTAACGTTTTTAATATTAANCCACAGTTTACTGTTTTCGAAATAAACAAAACATATAAGTATCATATAAAAACTTACTGTTCTCGTCTGCGGTGCTAAATATTTGAGACGATTGCAAACACAGAGCAAAGTATTTATTTAATTATCCCATTTTAGAGTTTTTACAACGACCATATAGTAAAACATGATTCAAACTTAAAATTATGCTTCTTTCTTCATAAGGCTTTACTCTACCATTAACATATTTCAATTACTTATATAGTTTCATTGTAGGACACGAAATTTTGGTAAACATTAACAATAATATAATATTAATCTACCAACATTGTAAACAAGTTTTGTACTTGCCACTCTGTATCCACGTGGTATTAGTATAACTTTGAGATCAGCATCTGCGCCATCTAACGGGACTCGTATAAAAAAAAAACCAAACTCACAATATAACAACTTATAAGTACACTGCCTCTTTCCACACCATTACTTCAGTAATTTCCCTGATATGTAAAAAATTTCTTTTTTTCAGGATTAACTTTATCATCTTGGGCTAATTGGGCTTTACAATTAAAGACAATTCATTAAAACCTATATCCTTTGAAAAAGTTTTAAACTCTTTTCAGGACGAATTTTTTGATTTCTTAAATTTGATCAAGCAGATATCTATGTATGCATGTCATTGAATAAAACTTTAGACGAGAGTCAATTGTTGTAACCACAAGTACAAATCAGATTAGGTGATTAGTAATGAATAATGAAATATACTCGAGATGGTTTTTAATCTTACCAAAAATTATTTTAATATTGCACATTAAGTACTGAATAAAGTTTTAACTTTCGATAATTTTGGTGTGCAAAATACTACAAAGAACTGACACTTGTACAACCAAAATAAAAAATTTTATTACTTCAAATGTGACAGAGTAAGAAAAAAGTACCAATAATCGTTTTATTTTTTACTTCCAATTAAAAATGTTTTATATTCATTATTTCCAAATTTTTATATCATGTAGCATCAATCATAAACTGAAAAATAGCAACGATTTCAAATTAATTTTAACATTTGTCACGTTCGCTCAAGTACGAATTATATACCACTAATCTTGATTTCTGATCATTTTCGTGTATGGATTTTTCGTTTGAATAAAAGGAGTTGGTACTAAGTTATTTTTTTGCAAGATTAATACTGAAAATTGTGATATAAAGTAACGCTACTAATTTTACCCGGATCACTTGTTGAGTTTTCGACACGATGAGAAACATTGGGATATTTTACCTCGTATTCCACAGTACAAAATCATTGTTACAGAGGATACCTCTCTTTTGTTCTGAAGTTATGGCAAACAATCTAAGTATACATAAAAATTACATAAAATATTGTGATGTTCTTTAAAGAAAATCTACAGAAAGAAAAAAAAAGTATTATAGGTAGCTTCCGTTCCAAATTTCTGCGGGTTTTAAGTCATACATAGAATAAATCGAAAAATGAAAATTTCGATATGATGTATCCTTCCATTTCTGGTTCTTCGATTCAAATTCTCATAACCTTTGAACGGAAACTATGTACAAAAAAGTTTATTCCATATATTTTGACACATTTAAACAGTTGTAACTCTGAAGCAATGAAATCTAGGCCTGGATGTTTTTACGAAATCATACTATAAAATTCATTAATATCTATTATCCACACCCGTTATTATACATTTATTTGGTATACTTGTCAATAA